TCATTCTTATATCTAAAATATGCCACCGCTCCATATGCCACTACTGACGCATCACTGAAAATATGAATTTCAACCGACTGACCTTTACTTAGAACTTCTGTAAAGTAGTACCTCTCTATTTTCAACGCGTTTATTCCTCAATTTCAGCGCACCACTTTATCCATTTGCACCGTAACTCCTTGGCAACTCTGAATCCCACTCCAAACCTCTCTCCCATATTTCCTGCATAAGTCTCTTAACTCGCACCACAAATGGAGAAATAAATCCGATTGGGTCAAACACCTTAACTGCTGTGCTTAACGCCGATCTTTTACTATTTCTCAACGATTCTAAACGACTTAACAATGATGCAACGTCTACTTTCAAACCCATCCTCTTCTAAGTTTCACACCAAGCCTAACAACTTTCAACTTACTATCTCTCTCAAGACCTACTTTCTTCACACAACCCTTCCTGAAGCCCACAAGTCATACAAGCTCTTTAGAATTAGTGTTTAGCTTTCTCAAATTAAAACTCTGCGTCTCTCAAATAGATACCGCCTCTGATGAAAGACTGAAAGCTGAATCTACACTTTTCCCCTCCATAACACAAATTGTCTGCATACAGTGAGCTATTTAGCATCTCGACACAGTTTTTGTTTGTTTCCGCATATTTCTTTAAATGATGTTTGATCGTTGCACTCAATAAAAACGGTGAACAATTACATCCAAATAATACTCTGTTCATTTGCATAATTTTAAAGTCCTCACTGTCATTATCAGGATACCAGAGAAATTTTAAATATTGCCTATCTTCCCTTGCTATCCCAATCATCAAAAACGCCTTTTCTATGTCACCGCAGAATCCAATTTTAAATTTTCGAAAAGAAAGAATGATATCCAAAATATTCGGATTTAGGTTTGGGCCCTTTTCTAAGCAATCGTTTAACGATAGCTTTCCTCTTTCGCTACTGCTGCAATTAAATACCATTCGAACTTGAGTGCTTTTTTTATCTTTACGGACCACTGCTCGGAATGGCATAAAGTACACCTCTCTCGTATCCTCACACTCTGGAATAATGTTGTTTTGTGTCTGAAATTTAATTACTTCCATAAACTGTTCCCTCACAAAGCTGTTACCTTTTAACTCTCGCTGCAAACTTTCGAACTGCCTTTTCGCTAAACCAAAATTATTTTCCAAATGCTCTGGACTCCTATTCCACAACAAGCGAGCCTCATACCTCCCGTCTACATATTTCAAATCCTCTTCAAATTGTTTAATTATTCGCTCATCGCCAGAACTTTCCGACGCGCACTCAGAGATTCCTAGACTTTCAATCTCCCAAAGCTGACGAATCTGATCCGATATTTTTAATTCCTCTTCCGAATCGATGTGTATAAACAAGCCGGCTGAGTCTGACCCTGAACTTAACTTCTTACTCTCTCCCCCCACTCTACCACTCAACGTCCAACCGAATATGCTTTCATGTAGTACTAAATATTCTGTTAACCGATGTGTTTTCCCCGTTAAGATGCAGTTCAAGTAATCATTCCCAATTAAAATCTGTACCTCTGCACTTCACTATCGCAGCTGTCAGATAAGTGAAATCCTTGTTGGCGAAGATTGTTTTATAATTTCTGCAGATGGCTTGGGTAATGCATTGGAACATATGGTTTTTACTTCGAGTGCTTCGATGATTAGAGTGACCCTGTCTTATTTTTTAGAGAAAGTCTTTTTCTTTTAAATTCTTGCACTGGCGGATTCGAAGATGCAAATGTATGAATTCTTAATCTTTCTTTACCAATAGTTGGTAAACTTGCTTTTCTGGAAATAGACTGACAAACATAAGATTTTTCGGAAGCAGAATCGCATAACAACCTAACGTTAAACGTGGAATTATTTCCTACCAGTTGACCTCTCAATGTTTGATAATAAATCACGTCATTAGGAATTTGCTTGCTCAGTGTTTCGAGGAATAGTGAACTAACGTTTGTCTCTTTTGCTGCGCTCGCAGTATTTTTAATGGATTTATTTTCTTGCCCTTCTGCATCACACACGCTCTTTAAATGCGACAAAGATTTGCAAATATTACATTTAACCCACTTTGCCTTACAAAATGGTTTTTTGTGACCCTTTTTTAAACAGCGCTTGCACTTAAATTGATCGTATAGTGCTTTGTGTTTCTCTGAAATACTTAAGTCGCAGTCTTTAGAAAGGTGAGATTTAAGACAAAAGTCGCACATATAATTTTCGACTGATGTATTAAGCGTCGTCGCTGACACCATTTTCTTTTTAATTGGAGCAACACTCTTACGATAGTTGTCGGTATTTCTTTCACTGGTTATCGAAAGTGTTTGTTGTTTAAGACCCAGAGTTAGTGACTTTTCGCGCGCTTCTACTTCTCTCTTTAGAAACAACAATAAATCTGACACTGTTGACTCTGTGTCGACCTTTTGCTCCCTACTAAACTGTAACACTAAATCTTGCGGTATACACTTATATAAAATAGGAAGTAATAGATTGCCATAAGAATTAAAATTAATATCTAATGTCTCTAAACTTCTTGTTTGAACTGTTATTTCCATCATATAGTTTTCTTAAACTGGATACATCACTTGAACGGCGTACTGGACTCCTAAAGCTAGGAAGAACGTTCAATATGCGCGCTAACTAGTATTTCTTTTTTCCCAAATCTGTCAGTTAAAGATTTCAGATGGCCTTTTATATAGTTTTCTCCTATTAATGGCAATCCGCTTATAGCTTTTGAAGCTGAACCGGTGAAGTAAAGATCTTAAATAGTTAAACTTCTCAACATCTTGAAGCGTATTGTTTTCGTGAATGGCAGCTTTATATACTGAGCCCAAAGTTCAGTAAATTTACTTAAATCGCCGCTGAAAGTTTCTAAGGTAATGCGAGGCAATTTAAGTATTATAATTAGTTTTGATTTCCGAAACCTGTGAAGTTGTTTCCGGTTTTACTCACCACATTTTGAATATATCTATTGACTTTAGATTTACATCTAATGATGGCTTTCGCTGTATTCTAAACAATGTTCTACTTCTGTCTCTAATTCCTGAACAGTGCTTTGAGCATTAATAACTTCATCATATTTTAACAAGCTAGTTTCTCTCTCGATTAACACTGAAAGCGATTCCTGCAACACTTCTAGGTTCGGATTCTCGCTTTGCAATTCCTCATCCAATTTCCTTATTAATTTTGTTACACTGGTACGAACCGAACCTCTAATTTTTCTATTTCTCTCGACGGTTTCTTCAAAACTCATTATCAAAGATAAATTGCATGCAGATAAATGAAATGACTCACCTTCCCGGCCGATGCACCAAAAAACTTGATGTATGTAATAACTTACTTACATCTTCTTTATCGGTGGTTCTTGTGTTCTATTGGCCAAACAAAGATACTTTCCTTTAACTAAATCTATTTAATGAAGAGAAGACTATGTACAAATATTATATACAGATTACAGAGTATCTAGTTTATGTCACTCTCAACGACTCTCATCAACCTCTCAACCCTCTCTGCCGAAACTCTTAATTAGCTAAACATACGGGCGGCGCAGCGCCCTCTATCTCATTTTTCTACACTGTGTAAGTAAATCTAGACAGGCACGCATTTTAATGTGAAAGACATATTATTTTAAAATTTAGATTACACGTATTTCTAATGAGAGTTAGCGAAGGAAATAGATGAAATTACCAAACCCTGGGTATTCGTCTTAAGTTCGGATCCTGGAAACGAGCTCATTGAATAGAATTTTTGTAATTTTCCTCATTTATAAGGTGATTTTGAACAGTTTATAATTGTAAGATCTTCTGCAAAGGTATCTGCAAAGGTATCCCTTTTCACACTTTATTAGTTTATGAAGAATAGTCAAAAACCCGCCAGGTCTATCTCCCTATGAGGAATGGACGCTTTCGACAAGGACAAGGAAATTGGCTCACATTACACATGAGGAAAATCACGAGAACACTCATGCTTCCAGCCAGTTCCCAGGATCTGAACCCAAATTCAACTACCAGATTTTAGTAATCTCATCTGCTTGGCATCTGGTGAACTGACAAAACTAAAATATGTATGAGCTCTCGTACTGCTTGCCTTACCTTCTTAACACAAATCAATCAATCATGCATTGCCATAATTAATCAAGCTATCGAATGCATTAAAATAATTCATTTTCTAGGTTTGTAGAGATCATTTGGCATCTTATTCGGAGACGTAAAAAATAAGCCATGCCCTCCCCGGAATTCGACTCTGGATCTGCCGATGCTAGCCGGACGTGCTTTTAAATTGCACCTACAAAGAAGGCGTTAAAGACGGAGACATTCTCCCCTATTTAAAGGGTGGCTAGGAATTAAGAGACCCGGTCACCAAGTCCTAAACAGTGGCGAACTATCATGTATCTCATTTTAAGCCTACAGTGTGGATACCATAATGAATTTTATTTCGGAGCAGAAGATGTGAAAACTGTGTATTGCCTTCGCCGGGGTTCGAACTCTGGGCCTCCCGATGCAAGCCAGGTGTGCTTTCTAATAACACCACGAAGGCACGTAGTAACAACGGAGTAAATACCTTAAAGGCTTACATATAAAATGACGTGAATGTGGGAAAATATTACAAAAGGACTTATAACCTGTAATTCAACGATTAAAAAAAACAAACTGAACATATTTATTATATTTTCTGCTTATAATCAGGGCTGTCTTCAAGGCCCTCTGGCCACTTGCGGATTCCACGCTCATCCATTTACATCTTTCTGCATTTCATTTCTGTGAGTGGTTGTCGAAAGGGCCCCAGTACACTGGTTTGGCCAGGGGTCCATAATGCTGTTAAGACAGTGCTGTTTGTAACTGGAATATATAAGAAAAATTCTAAAATTCATCAGAAAGAAATAATCAATGTCACACAGTTCCTTAGAAATTTCAATCCGTGTAAACATGCATTGATGTGACGTGTATTCACTGATTAGCTGATTAAATATAGAATTAAAAGCAAGTACTCACCTTAACCATCACATTTGTGTCATGCCGAGCAGCTGCAGAGATGAACTTAATCATGGTCAGAAAATCTGCAGAACCAATTGCTTTATTAACGTCTGGTGTCATAGAAGAGAGTAAATCTGTGCCGATGTAATCATAGTGAAAGCGGCCGGGTAAGACAGAATATGAGAGATCGCCGTAACTCTTTCCATTCCGAAGTTCTTTTACGATACAATTAAATGTTTTTTTCCACCCCAGTGAGTAGTCTAAGACAGTAGCTTCACATTTAAATTTCCCGAAGTACCAGCTGAACACAGTCAAGAAACCAATTATATCTGTTCCTGGGCCACCTCCTATACAGCAGAGATTGAGGAAAGAAGTTCCATCAAAAAGATCAAGAAATACGGAAGGATCGTCTGCAATAGCTCTTTGTAACATTTCGATGAGAAGGCCGGTGTGACAAGAGGCATATTTGTGTATATACGCACACCTGTGCGCAGCATTGTCATAATTGGCAATGGTCAAATCGGTAGAGGAATGCCATTCTCCTTCAGGCATATAAACATCCTTCATATCCTGCAAGACACGATTATTGAACATTTAAAGTAATGCATGAAACATACATTTATATTAATACAATTACAGCTTACTATAACGATTTCTATAACTTAAAAAGGTCTGATGCGGACAACACAGGACTTCCTTGTACGGAATATTAAATTATGCGCATTTTTTGCTGCATTTCATTTAAACCTATTTTCTTGAACTTCATTAGAAATAGGTATCTCATTCAATGAATTCAGTTCTCACTTCAGGACATGGCAAAAATACATAAAAACTCAAAATATTTTTATTAAAAATTGAAAAATATAGAAAAACATAAAACACCAATTACAGTTAAAACAATTTTACAAATACGATTAAAATTAGTTTCTACGCACAAACAAGGAATTCGGCCAGCAGGCAAGTTTTCCAGATTTTTCTGTGCACAAAACTGAAAGTTTACTTTTGGTCCCACTCGGCAAAAAGACACTGACTGTGTAGATACTGAAGGTTCCGAAATGACTTAAGTCACTATTCTGTTTAAGTTTCAAATGTAAAGCAAATAATGGCTCCGCTATCGTTAAGAGATAATTAGGCTTAGCCGCACTTAAACAACTTTTGAATTGTTGATAATTCTACAACTATTGCATGCAGATTAACTAAAGGCACGAAAACCTTACCCGGAAGATAACAGAATTCAATCATTTTGAAAGCAATAAATGCAGATTATGAAGCAGAAATCGCGGATTATGATAAATTAAAAGCACTAATTTTGAAAGAATTTCAGCCGACACCGCGTGAATGTTTGAATAATTTTAAAAATGCGCAGAGACATTCATCTGAATCGCGTGTTCAGTTCGCGTCTCGACTCAGTGCAACTTTCGATTATTATTGTAGGTTAAGAGAAGTAGATGATTTTAAGAAATTGTGTAATCTCATTGCATCTGATAAGCTATATGAACGCTTGATTCTAAAATAAAGGAACATGTTATTGTTCGGGAGGGCCAAAGTTGGTTCCCACCTAATCAATTGGGAAGAGAATGTGATTTATTTTATACATCCAGGGCTAAATCATTAGCTGATACTAGTAACACGCGAATCGAAACTCCAGAAAATAAAAAGCTTAATTTTTCCAAAAATAACCTTAGAAAAGTACAGAGCAATGCAAAGGATTCAGGGTGGAAAGTCGTAAATCAGAATAACATTAAACAAGAACGTATTTGCTATGTATGTGGGAGAAAAGGTGAATTGTTTCATTTTGCGAGAAATTGCGCCAAACATTTGGAAAAAGAGGAAAATTCATCTCAAAAAAAGGTATCCGGGTTAAAGATTGCGTCGGATAATGAAGCTAGAAATAGCTTCAATTAGCATTTATTGAATCGTTGATTGATGGTAAGGAAATAAAATGTTTAATAGATTCTGAGGAGTGAATTGATAGTTGTAAAGAAATCTCTTTTTCCGGATAAAATACCACCTGGATTAATAGAACTGAAAAGTTCCTTTGGTAACGTGATTAAAGCGGAAATGGCTAAGTTTATTTTTTCTTTTTGCGAAAGCAAAAAACAAATTGAACTAGAGGCAGCGATGGTTTATAAGCTGATATCAGACTGTATCTTGCCCCTCTCATGTTTAGCGGACAGCTGCTGTCATCGGGTGAGGATTACGCAATATGAAAATGATTCCATATCTTCGGAAAGGAATTTTTTGTCTTTTATTTCTTCAGGCATTGAGGGAGACACCGAAATAGATTTATCGCGCATGAAGAATTACGAAATACTGTTTCCACCACAGCTGACTGTATCATGGCCTTGAAGCCAAATCAGTTTCGGAAGGTCACGTGATCGAAATAGTCGATCTCTTTCTCTTTGCCATAATCCCGGAGTTAAAGTTTACCGAAATAATAGTTTAAGTCTTAAAATAAATATAAATTAATAAACGTGAGTAGGTCGTATGATTTACATTAAATTTTTCATACTGCAATATTTTTAAAGGCGGTAAAAAAATGTATATCTTCAATAATTTTTAAAACAATTTGTAATTCGTTTATGTAACTAAAAATATCATTGAGAATCACCACATGCGAACTTCTTTATGTAATTTTGATAAAAATGAAATCCATTTACGTAATCTGAATCAAATTTATTGTCAAAATAATATAAAATCCACATAGGGAGGAAATTCAATAGATTTATGAATGTAAATTTTAGATTTTCATACTAGTAAAATAAATATTAAGGGAAGAATATTTTGTAAAAACTCCATGCCGCTACCATCGCATCAGTTATATAAATTTTTTAGAAGACAAAATACCCATAGTCATCTCTCTTCACTCCATTCACTAATAAAATCTGCATATCTCAATTTTATCAAAAACAGGAAAATGAATTAAAATTCCTTAAATGCTAGAAAATTTGAATATAAAGATGAACTTACATGCATGTTGTACTATAAAATAAATCTTTCAAGATAATATCAAAGAACTAAATGCTAATTGCATTCATAAAAAAGGACAGCCATCTATTTGTACTAGTTCCAATTTAAATCAAATTCCAATCAAAATCACTTTTTCCAAACCATACAAGAGGTAAGTGATTAGGCTGGTTTTTTTAAAGTGATTTCTCCAAATTACAGGTCTATTCCACTATTAAAAAAAAATTCATAAAACTTGAAGCTGTACCATATACATAATGCTACATATTATACATAATCTATGCAGAAACAAAAGCATAAATCAAAATAAACAATTGAGTTATTAACTGAAATTAATTAAATTTTTTAACATTTTTATATGAACATTTTATATTGATTTTGTCATTTTTATATTTTGGCATAATTATTTAACATTATTTTACAAGTTATCAAACATATTTTCTAACCGAGTTTGTAAAGTCATTCCACAAGTGCAAGAATCTGTTAAATTAAAGTAACTGTATGGTGTACTAACCGTATCCAAGATAACTTATATAAAATATCCATTTGCTTTCCTGGCATAAGAAATGTATTTTCCATGTTTTTAAGAATTTCACCAAACAAGAAATATACAATTGAAGATTTAATAGAGTAACTTCAGATGGAAAATTTTAATTTCCCCCTTATCTAATTCTTTAAGAAAACCAAAAAATATCATCTGCTGTATCTACTGAATGAATACTTTGCAACCAGTCCTGTCAAATATTGCATTTTATCACCCTTAATTTTTCATGGCATCATAACCTGAAACATAAACTAGCACTGCTAAAATATTAGAAGAAACATTTTCTATAAAAAAATCATTAATAAGTAAATTTGAATAATCAATTAATATTCGCAAAAGTAAAGATAGAATCCTTATCATAATCTGGTAAAAGGGACATTCATATTTGATTGAAATTATAATATTGTTTTTAAAACGAAGCTTCTTCTCATTTTCTAATAATTGTAGGTCATTTATTTGATAATCTGAACCTGACATTTGCCGATACATTTCAAAACGTGATTCAGGAGCATTGAAATTTTCCTAACAATATGTATTCAGCTTCATACTTTTGAAACAAACATGGAATCAATTGAACGCATCTGTAATTGTTATTTGGTAATTCAGACCAACTTTCGAACACCCGCGAAAGGGCTGTCTGCATGGGTGTTTTCGTGATTTTATGCATGTGTATCGTGCACGCAGTATCTTCTGGATGCATACGAGAAAAAAGCGGATGCAGCCCAGGTAAAATCGCTCTACAGTGGTAATTCGGTCGAACTTTCGAAAATAGGCTAAATTTAACATGGGAACTCATGAACATTGAACAATGAAAAGCGGGCTTCAGCCCGCTCAGCTGGCGGGCTTGCCCGCTAGTTGTTATTAATGACTGAAAAGTTTGTGGTGATAAAGTTTCTTTTATTGGAACAGAATGTCAAATATACTATTAGAAAGAAATAATCAAAACAAGGAATTCCTAATTTACTATTCCAAACAAATATCAAAAACACACTACGCGAAACGTCCAAACTAATGTATTCGATGTTATGTTTGTGTTAAAACGAAATACTTGAATAGGATTGAGAACAGCTACAAATTTTCCCAAATAAATCTAAAAATTAAAAAAGTATAAAACGAAGTATAGATAAAAATATTATTTACCTTAGCATAAGTGATTTAAAATCACTTAATAGCAAAATATATATCCAAAAAATCCACGACCACGAGTTCACAACCACACACTACCACAAAAATACATCGACCATCTTGATCACGTGACTTTTGCGCTTCAAGGCCATTATAGAGTTGGCTGTGGTTTCCACTCTTATTAAAGAGTATAAACCACTAGAAAAGTCCCGCAGTACAGACTTAAAAATGAAAGTAATATTAAAAGATGAAATTCCAGTTTCTCAGCGTTCGAGGAGGAAATTCCTTTTGCTGACTTTGGAGACAATTTCAAACTACAGGAACAGCTATCCAGGGGTTTAGTAGTGGTCGTCCACGAGGAACCACACCCGCAGATGACCGGTATATTGCCTTACAGGCCAGAAGAAACAGGCGGCAGACAGCGGTAGAAATCGCTAGACACACGACACAGGCGACTGGACGACCGATATCGCGTTTTACCGTGGCCAGAAGACTGCAGGGTGGTGGTCTGTTTGCACGACGCCCTGTGCGGTGTGTACCTCTAACGCCTGCCCATCGGAGAAGGCGTTCTCTGTGGTGCCGGGAAACACCGGAAATGGAGAGACAATGAATTGGGGACGAGTACTCTTTACAGATGAGAGCAGATTCAGTCTGAGTAGCGATTTCTCATCGCATACTCATCTGGAGAAAGCGGGGAAGGCCGCAATCATCCTCGAACATCATTGAAAGGGACCGGTATGGAGGTGGTGGGTTCTCGTTTGGGGAGGCATCATGCTTGGTAGTCGTACAGACCTTCACATCTTCGGACGCAGGTTCAGTCAACGGGACCCTTTATTGTAACGAGATTCTTCTTCCTATGTGCATCTTTTTAGAGGCGCTATGGGTCCGCAGTTCCTTTTCATGGACGACAGTGCACCATGTCAGCGCACAGCAG